ATCAGTAATTTTGAGGAATATAGTTGTAGTATCAGACTTGGAAGACCAGATGCATAGCTCTCTGGTATTTTGCAAAGTGTCCCTGGTGGTGGTGTTGAATAGAAAGAAATGGTCAGGAGGACTTATGGTAATCTTTGTATTTTCTGCCTAGAAAGCCATTTTGACAAATTGAGTCTCCAAAGATCCTCCATCTAAAGCACTGGACTTGTACCTTGCTTCTTATACTAGTTATGGGAAAGAACTTTTAGCAGTCCACCAAACCAAAGCTATTCTTTCTGGAACCATTGGGAATGCTTGGTTAACTGTGTGCGCTAGGGATATCAGGGGTTTGTTAACTGAACAGTCTTTCTTACCTGTGTTTTTGGGGTTCTACAGCTATAATTGTCGAACTGCTCAGTGTTTATAGATAGACTAATAATGATACTTTAAATACTATTAAATGTAAACTATTTATAGTTTAAATGGACAATTTTATAAAATAGTTAATTTTTTAACAGAAAAATAGTCCTCTTCAACTCTTCAGAAGCTTGAAAAATTTACCAAAGTGTGAAGATGACTTATGAATATGATTTAATGAATTCCTGGGCAAACACTTTTTTTTTCCTTTCTAACTAACTGCAAGAATTTAGAAAAAGCGCATACCATTTTTACCAATAAATATGAGAGATTCAACTCCCCTCCGCCCCCCAATCAGCATGGGTGGGGGGGGGAAGTTCATTGTCTTACATTTGCATACAAGGAAGACTCATTAAAGATATTATCTATAATTAACTGCTGCCAAAAGCAGCATGTGCTCAGTACTAGAAACCAATTATGAAGATGATTTAACGCAGCCAACAGTGACTGTGACTATAAAACACATGGCCCATATTGGGCAAATGTACTGATGAGAAGAGAACCTTTTTTTTTTGGCGTGGGCCTTAAAAAAACCAAGAACAAAATGAAACAAACAAAAACAAAAAAAACCAACCCCCAAAAAACAAAATGGGCAATTGCTTCCTCTGGAGGTAATAAGCCTGGGCCTAGAGGTATTGCGATACCAGGCTGGTACTTGGCTACCAGAACCAGCTCCGACACCCTCCCTTTCTGCCAAAAATGATGATGGGAACATTTTTGTAACAAATAAATAAATAAAAATTAAAAACACACCTGTATCACTCCACACTTACAAAGCTTCACGTATTGAGCATTCTTGTTTTACCAGAATTTCATATTGTACAAACAACTAAACAACTATGTATCCAAAAACATAAAACTACATGTATTTAACAATATATATCAACTTCCCACAAAAGAACCCCTTCCAGAACTCTTTCTTCATACAAAAACCCATGAAAACTATGACCTTAGTAACCATCTGAAACTCTCCTCCCCTCCCATCAGTCCTCTTTGTTGGTTTAGTGAACAAGTGCGTTCAGTCCTTTTCCTCTGCTTCATCTTTGCCTCTTCTCTGACCTTTTCCTTGTCCTGCTCAATGTAGAATTTCAATTCGTGGAGCCCCAGCTTCAGGCACTCTCTTTCAGTGAAAGCCAACCCTTAAAAAACTGGAAGTTTATAACTTTATATAAACTGGTTTAAAAACATGCTATCCTTAGTAACGTTTCCTTCAGTCCCTTTGGTATTAGTCTGTATAGTACCATCTCCCATGCTAACAACAGGCTTATTTTGATGACATTCAGAAAATCACGGACCCTTTCCCACACAGCCTTTGCACTCCCAAAACATGTGTCCCACCACTTCTTCCCTGCGCCTCTCCCTTGAGCATCTAGATGAGCTTGTTGAGCCCCACTTGTGTTGCACCTCTCTCACTGGCAAGATATTTCTTAGAGCCATTTATGTTAGGTCAGCATATTCTCCTTTTAGTTGTTTACCTGACACCACTCCCCACACCTACTTCACTTGTCCTTCTGTGAAGTTTCCCACTGGCACCATCCTCTCTCTCTCTCTCTCACCACTTTCATCAACGTATTATGATCCTTCAGGATCTGTAGCTATACCTTCCCTATTTTATATCTCTGCATGAAACTTCCATCCTAATGTAATGAATTGGTGGTTGCCACCCCATAGACTCTTCAAAGAGTTTTGATATACTCCTCATTTCCTTAAACCTGCAGTTGCATGAAGTCAGCTGATATATGCTGCTTTCACTTCTCCCTCTGTTACCGCCTTGTATGCTGTGCTTATGTATTTCATATAGACGAACAATCCCCAAATCTGATGGCCCCCATTCCCTGCCCTCCCCCAATCTCGCTTGCTTTCTATAGTTCAGCTCTAGCCAGCTTTTCTTTTTTGGCATTCCAGAAGAACATGCACAGTAGCCTTTGTACTTTTTGCTATCTTCCATCACATCAGTGGGAATACAGTTCCCATATATAGAATAATTGGCAGTAGCACAGCCTTAACCACCATCACTTCTCTGTTAAAGAACAGCAGCTTTTAGGACCATAACCAAAGTATTTGCTGTATCCTTGCTGTGTGACCTTTTCCCCATGTTGTAAGTATTACCTTTCCCTTTGGCATCCATCAGGATCCCTAGCACTCTGATTTCTCTGTCATTTGAAGGCCCAACTTCTACAAGTCCCTCCAGTTCCTCACTTCCATTATGGTGCTTTTCAGTCTAGTTAGTTTAGTCCCTGTTGCTTCTCCATACTTTGGTGTATGCTTTGGCACCCTTTTCATTTAAAGTCTCACTCTTAACTACTACATTTATATCATCCATGTATAATACACATTTTGCCTTTCCTCCTCCCAGTATCATTACTCCACTTAGGACTTAGAATCTAATTATTGAAGGGGTGTCTTATATTCAGGGTTGTCATATATTCAAATAAATGCACATATTGATTGTATAGGGACTTATTTAATAAGTTTTAGATCATTACTAACTTTGTTCTTTATTAAATATGTAGAGGGGTATTCAAAAAAGACAGAAATGCCTTACAATTTTTCTGTCTCTACTGAAGCAGGATATTGATTCAATGATGCACCTTTTTACTATTTTTAAAGGCCATTTAACCAAAAGAAGAGTTGGAACAGAGATCATAAACCAAATTCTCTCTTGCTCCAGGTGGGTCTTTTAGTGCAGGAGGTGAGGACGTTGGAGTGTCCTGTTAGGAAAGCTGGTTATAATTTCATTCTGCTCAGTAGCTTAGGGCAGTTAGCTGTGAAATGGGAAGAGCCTTTCATTCTAATGATTCCCCTTGTCTATCTTGTCCAAGCAACTCCTGTATAGAGAAAGTATCTCTTTTTTTGTTACCTGGTCACAATTGTAAAGGTGGACAAATGATGTGAGAGCAAGCTCAGTAAGTTATGAGGAAGCTTTTCAAGTGCAGCTGGCAATCTAACATGAAACTGAGGAATAAGAAAAACCCTAATTAAAAGGATGGTTTTTGAAAAACAGCACATTTTTAATAGAATAACATTGGAAAGTAAGGCAGTTGATCAAGAGAAGAAATTCTTATCTGTAGAATCTTTAATACAGTGAGCAACAAACTTACATTGGCTAGCTTCATACAAGCATATGTCTTCCCTCTTAAGTTGCAGGGTGTTTTGAGAGAAAAAATGCATAGTGAATGAAAGGGTGACCAGCTAGCCACCTTGGCATGTGACTTGTACCTTTCTTGCAGTTTGTGAACCTGCATCCTTCAGTTTTCCTTAAATTTTGCTTTTGAAAGCTAATTGAAACTAAACTCTAGTATTTTTCTCATTCGTATTGGTTTGTCTTGTCGTCTTGTCACAGGGTCAGAAATACTCAGCTCAATACACTTATTTTGGTTGTGCATTTGGTGCCTTTTTTGATATTTGACTAAAATAGACTTGCTTCAACATCCCTAATTCATTTCTTCCCCCAGTTTGCTGCATCTCTTTCTATACTACCAGATAAGTTTCTCACATTTGCATTTGTGTTCTTGAGGTAAAAAGGGCAACTGTTACATATGCTGCATGCTGGGAGAAAAGCAGAGAAGGGGATACCTTTTCAGGTACTTCATAGAGCCTGCTGATTTGAAGAGAAATTCTGTGAACTGAGAGCAGAGTTGAAGCTTCCTGTACTAGTGGAAAAGCTCATGACAGTGGTGGGAGAGCATCAGCTTGGAAAAGTGCAAAAGTGAGGGAGCTCTGTATAGTCGCGCTGACAGGCGGAGACCAATTTTTGTCTTCCAGAGTTTGACTTTTGATTGTAACCCATTGCAATGCATTCTTGACCCCTGTATGAGCTTGTGACCTGAAGATAAAACAGTGATATTAGGGAAACGTTTTAAGCATATTTTAAAATATACCCGACTCAGAACTGAATCTTTGGACAAATAAGCTCATCAGTCTTCCTTGCAGAGGAACTATATGCGCTTGCACTACTTTTAGAAATTAACAGAGTTTTTTTGTACAAGGCAATAAAACTACAGCAATATATAAATGCCCACTTTAGGTAGAATAATAAAGCAGTGTATTGTGTGTGCTTTTAAATCTAATGTGCAAAATAGGATTTTTAAAAAAATTGATTTGTAATATATCACAGTCATTTATCTCAACAATTGGTTGCAGAACTGAAACCAAGATCCAGAAAATATAGTCGCACAAGGGTTTTCTAGTACGAACTTAGGTACTGAATGATGTCCCCATTTTAAGTGCTAGGAAGCTGAAGGAAAATGGCATTTTTACTTCCACTCTTGAAGGTTAAAAGTGTGATTGTCTTTTGAAAAGTCACTTGGAAAATGGTACTCCCTTACTTCACACATCATGCTTCTAGTGTATACTCTGAATTGGATTTCCTCTTTTCATTGTCAAATTGTTATTGTTTCATTTTCAGAAGTTTGGGAGACGGAGAGGTTGCATCTGGAGACTACATCTGGTGGAATTTGGAAGAGAATCTGTTTCAATTTCTACTCCCTACAGTATTACGTTTTCAACTCTGCTTACCAAAATAAAATATTATAGTAAACCCTGGGCTTTTTTTCAGGAGCGAAATAATGCACTACAGAGTATGTGCAAGAAAATAAAAGACCTAGAATTGGAACATAATGACTGCCCTGAGATCCTGCGGCGACAAGCCAGTGAGCTTGAATACAGTGCAGAACGAGAGGAGAAACTTAAAAAAGAATTTGAGGTAGGTACGTCTTATCTCTTTATATCAATGAAGACAAATCATACTGAATACCTTGAATATCCTTGTTAATCCTGAGATTCTGTGCTGGAGCAGTTTCTCCAGTTAACTTCTGTTTTGGAGGGATGTTGTCTTGAGTGCAGCAAAATTTTTATGCTCAACTTTAAATAACACAGAATATTCTTGTTAAATGAACTATACTAGTTTTGTAAACCAGCAGGACTAACTTTGGGTATTTGGAGGCTTGTCTATAGTGAGACTGGAGTGGAACACAGGTGGAAAATGGTTTGAAGGGGATACAGGCCCATGCACCAATTCATAAATTAACATCTTTGTGCTTTTAGAAAATTGCAGCTTGTTTTATCTGTGCCCATAGTCTTCTAATGTGCAGGGTATTTTACTGCCATTGGCACCAGTATAGTCCTACAAGCAATCAATGAAACTTTACTGAATGAAGTAATTCTAGTGGTACTGTGCCAGACCACTGATTTATGAGAATTTAGAAAGGAGAAATGAGGTGCTGGCAGGGCTAGAGAGCTTTAGGGAAATAAAGGCTTCAGGCTTTGAACTTTTTTCTGGCTTGGGTGGTGAAGAAGCAGCAGCAGAGATTCAGCAGAAAGACCAGCTTGGACAAAGTAGTCTCTCTGATCTTCTTTCTTCTGAATCCAGTGAATATCTGAGATCCTTCAGCTGCTTCTTCAATAACAGTTAACTTAAAGTTCTACAAACCCATAATTTGTGTAGAATGATATTCTAGCTTTACCAGATAACTAAAAATTAGAGCTATTGGTGTATTAAATTAGTTAAATTATTTAGCTTTTTATAGATCTCTTTTCAACCATTTGGGAAAAGTTCTTTTTTTTTTAATCAGAAGAGGTGAGCAGAATTATGAAGAAAGAAATTGGAGATAAAATTGTGACAGTATTATTAGATTTTAAAAAGTATTACCCTTTTACATAGGCATTATAGTAGGATATGGGGAATGATCTGTACAGTTTGATTGCATAACTTTCTATTATAAAGCATGGTTGTAGGTTCTTCAGAAGAGCTTACTGATTCACTCTGTGGCCTCAGGTGTCTCTCTCTGTTTACTTGTTTATAAAATGAAAATAATAATGTTTCCATATCACTGTGGAAATGTACTAATATTGGAGAGACCAGGATTTTTTTTTTTTTTTAAGGTCACTCTAGAAATGACAGGTTTCATGTGGATAGTCCTGTATTTGTATGCTTTAAAGGTATACTATGCAAGGCAGTGGCCAGTAGTTTAACAACGAGGATTAAGAATTCACCAGGCACTATCTGTACTGCACATTGAATGAATGAAGGGACAGGATAGGAAAGAGAAGGGGAGGAGTGGCACTCTACATCAAGGAGGACTACACAT